TACAGAACTTGCCCGGCTTATCTCCCATTTACTTTTTTATTTTTAACAGCCAATTTTTGTTGTCTTCTCTGAGTGAAAGCACAAGCCAGTGCCTGGCACGGCTCCTGCTCAGTCTCAGCAAGCTTTGGGCTCCAAAAACCCAGATTTTATTTTACTTGACTGAATATCGGTCAAGTATGTCTGCACTAGAAAAGCCTGGAGGCAAGGCATATGGGTTTTAGAGCCCTAAAAAAACCACTAACTTAAAATACAGGAAATAGACTTTCTCCGTAGCCTCGCTACCCACATGAAAGCATGAGCTAGTTTCTGCCATTCCAAACACAATCGGATTTTCCCAGTGTGCGAGCGCAACGCCTCATGCACTAGGATTTTCTGCGTGCTGACAAACTGCTACACACCGGTTCTACCTATGCGATACAGTCCACAGGTCTGCTGCACAAAAATAACAAAATAAAATAAATGAGCCGCATCAGCTGAGCCCTTGATGCCAAATGGCTCCGTTGTCTTTTGTCTTGCCTGCAAATGCCAGGCGCAGAAGGGACAGCAATGTATGCTGTGACAACGCGGCTCCTGGGCTAAGCCCTCCAGGGCAGAAAGAGGGTTCCGTGGGCAACAAAATAGCTGGTTTGGGGGTTTCCGATAACATTGCACAGTCTGGAGGGGTTGGGAGTAAAAACCTCCACAGCCCAGCTCAGCGCTGGTGCCCCGCAAGAGCTTCTGCAGCGCTGGGGCACTGGCACAGTTTCATGCTCAGATATTTTCAGGGCAGCAGAAGCAGCTGCTTCAGTTCCATCTCTGGGAGTTTGATTTGGGGAGGAGAGAGGTAGGGTGCAACCATGGATACATTTTTTGGAGGTGGGTGGAACCTACGTGTTTGTATCTCCTGTTAGCAGTGTGTCTAGACCTCCCATTCGGGCATCAGCTGGAAATGAGACATCCAGACAGAGACCGTGTTTATGGGATTGAGCTTTTTTGTTTGGTTGGTTTTGGTTTATTTTTTACTGTTACATACTGGCACTTGGCTGAGTCCAAAGTTCCAGCTTTCAACCTGCAGATGGTCTTTATAAAATAAATTAAAAAATAATAAAAAAAAAAAAAAAAAAGAATGGATGAGGAATTACAACTGCTCCCTGCTCAACACTGTTGTTTGAAAGGGCCTGGCCTCTCTTCATAAGCATGAGGCTTTGCAGGTTCTTGAACATACTTGATACATCCAGCATTTTCTGAGACGCACATTAAAAAAAAAAAAATTGGGTTATGTAAAACACTTCAGTTTTCAGTCCCCTTGATGCATATGTGCCAGCCACAAAAGCAAAGTCCCGTGGTTGTTTTCACGGGTTGCCAAAGCGCTTTAAGTTCAGACAGCATTTTTTACTGTATATTGCCTCCATTTCAATCTTGCATAACTCACTAGGAACAAAAGTATCAAATTTCTTCTGAACATTTCCATTTTAAAGATGACCAGCGTTAAATAGATGCACTCCTGCTGCCTACAAACTAGAAATCAATGATAAATAAAATATTTTAATAGCATTCAGCCGACATGCTTAAAGTTTTATTGGTTTCCTCCCTACAGAAGTGATTCCAACTTCTGGACGAGGGAGACAGCAATATGGTTAACTGAAGCCCACCGTGCTTCAAAAGAGTAACAGCCCCAGGGGGAAAGTTGTGCATAATTTCGTGATGACAAGCGGTAAAGTCACATTACTTGGTTTCTATTAGAGGTACACAGCCTGGGACTGAGACAACAATACCTAAATGAGAAAGGATCTGGAGAAAACCATGAGAAATTATGGGAAATAAAACTGGTGAGGAATTTAGCTGAGTATATCTAGAGAAAATATTTGTTTACAGGTGGGAAGCAGATTTTCATAAGACCTATGAGGTCTGAAGAGAGATTTTATAGCTCAGTTTTAGATTTGGGACTATAATTAGCAGCTGTCAAGTCTAAGGTTGGTCTTCCCTGATTTAAGGATGAGGCCAAAGCAGCCCAAAGGTCTTCACAGCCTGACAGCCAAGTTCTGCCACAGGAAGGCAGCCAGCAGTTGCCTATTTTTGACTATTCACTGCTCTCCCAAAGAAACCATCAGGCGAGTGCAGGTCTCCTCCCTGCGGTTCATACTTCAGGCTTTCCTGGCATGGGCTGGTGCGTAACCTCAGGGATCCCAGGGTACTGCCCCACTCCGATAAAAATAAATCCTCTGGTCCCATTCCTTTCAACTTAAAGTTCCCAATAAAAAAATCTCAGACTCTCAGAGCAGCTGCTTCGTCTTCTTGATCCAGTGAACGGAAAGAAATGGTTTTAGGGAGAAGAATGGCAGGGAAGCAGCA